GGGCATAGTTGAACCTTAATAGTGGGGTTGCAAAGCAAGAGGGAGAGAATTTTTGTACAGGGAGGGGAAAAAAAAAGAAATCGCAACCACCCTACCGCCTAGAGCAATTTTTAAAAAATATATATATACTGTATATCTATGTATCTATATAGCACTAAGCACCGCGCGCAAAATAAATCCTTTTAAAAAAGCCTTGGTTAAAAACACACACACATATATATAAACAGATCTAGATCGATTGGCTTGCTTGCAAAACTGTACAAGACATCAAGAGTTAATTGCAGCAGCACCAACGGAGAGCCCTCCCCAAAAAAGATATATTCCCCCCACCCCCAAAAAATAATTCTCCCTTCTTTATTGCAAACAGTAAAAATACACCAAACACTCAACCAAACTGCATGAATGGGGAGCGCGAGAGGAGCCCCGGGCTGGGAGTGACGGGCGTCTCGGCCAATAAGAGGCCAGGGCGAGGACGGGAGGAAGGCGGCGGTTGCAGGGCTCGAGCGGGGGGGGCGGGGCCGGACTCTTAGCGCGAGAGACCCGCTCGCGCGCCCCATCGGAGGGTCCGCCGCGCACACACGCAGCGCCGCGAGACGGGGCCTGTGCGCTGTTTGCGTAAAGCGCGTCCTGAATACGCCACCCCCGTCCACTTGGACTAGGGAAGGCGACGTAGCGCCTCCTTTAACCCTTTCCCAACTTAGTAGAGGGGGGGGGCTGTTTCGTTTTCCAAGGCTTTTTAGGGCCAGCCTGGAAGCAAACAGCGCCGGGGCTGGGAAGTTTGCTAGCTTTGCAGGGAGTGGGGGGGGGGGGAAAGAAAAATAAAACCCCGTTTGGTCCCATGCCATTTCTGGCCGGTAGTCCCCCCCCCATGAGACTTTAAAAAGTTCCTTCCCAGTCACCCAAAGAAGGGAGAAGGTGGGAAGGGCTGGTGCAAAGTTTGCTCCTTCTTCCGAGGGAGGGCCAGCAATATGGCTGCCCGGGCACCTTCTGCAGAGGCGGTGGGAAGGCCCCGGCCTTTGGGGGGGGGGGGGACCCGCCGAGACACTTTTGCATCCCGACTTGGGCTAGGAAGTGGCTTCCTTCGGGTTTTATTCGTGGGGCCTCCCGCTCTTCGGGCCCTTCTGGCAGGGCAGGGCATCCCAAAGCAGGAGGGTTTTGCAAACTTGCCTCCTGAGGCTTTCTGCCCCCCCCAGTCCAACCACCCCCCGTTTTTAATTGGAAGGGTTGGGCGGTGGCCAGGCCAGATATGGGGGAGAACAAACAGAAAAACAAAAGGAGACGGCCAACACCGTTGTGGCACCTTTGAGATGAAGGGCTATATTTTACACAGAATTGGGAAAGAAAAGGCCGTGTGGTTCAGAACTACTGTACACAAAGGCAAGAGTGGGGTGAGACCTGTATTGAACCACTCAACAAAAATCAAACAAGTTGCAAGCTTGCAGTCTAGCCCATCTAGGAGAAGGAAAACTCTTGATTCCAAACCTCCACTGCCTTGTGGCTATACCCCCTGATGGAAAAGGCTTCAGGAGTTCGCCTCGAGGCAAAATCTGGAGCTGGAGTCCCGGAAGCAGTTTGTGTCCTTCTGGCAACATCGCTGGACCCAGTTGTATTGGCTTTTGCCTTTCCATTGGACTATTTCAGCGATGTAGAGAGGGGGGATTTGCTGCTTGGGTAACAGCCTATCCTCCATATTATTTCACCCAGGCTTCGTGTTCTGGAGAGGACACTCCAGCTTCGCATACAATATCGAAGTCCTCCATAGAGAGCATGTTACCATAGTCTCTCGAGACTGAAGGATGTCTATAGTGAGGATGCAAGCTGAAAGCTGTTTTTTTTTTTTTTTTAGTGGTTCAATAATGATATCACCCTACTCTTGCATCGCTGTACTGTATTTTGATGGGAACTTTCATGGGCCACTGCCTCTGCTTCCTCAGCTCCTTCACAGACACACTTTCCTCTCTCTACCCTACAGAGGCATCTTGTTAATGCCTTAAGACTACGAAAAACTAGTCCCCTTTCGAAAAAAAAGGTCCTAGATCTTCCAGGATTCCCTTTTGGAAAAATGATTTCTGCAGAGGATGTGGCAATAAATAATATTTGTTGTCAATGTTACTTTTAAAATGTTATTTTTAAAACACTAACAATATTTATTCCTGCCATGTTGCCTTGCAGAGTTAAAAAAAAGGCACCAGTGTAACAATGTCACCATTAATGTATTATTTATGTGCTCTGCTGGTAACCTACCTCCTTACAAAGGATACAGTACTTTCTGTTTTCTAAAACAAGAGTTGCTGGCCTGCAGAACTGTGACTCCCCCATTAAGTAACACAAGCATTAAGATAAAGTAAAAGTTTGTGGCCCTCTTGGAAAGAAGGGCTCCTGTGTAAATGCATGCTTTGGATGGATCTGTTGTATTGATATCCTGTGTTTCTGGACAGAAAACAGTTTACAACGTTTAAAATAATTTATTTTTATGATTGATTGATTGATTGATTGATTGATTGATTGATTGATTGATTTGATTTGATTTGATTTGATTTGATTTGATTTGATTTGATTTGATTTGATTTGATTTGATTTATACCCCACCTATCTGGTCTACTCGACCACTCTAGGCGTCTTCCAGTATAGGATAAAACAATAAAAGACAAGAACATTACATAATCATTTGATACAGTATTAATAAATAGAGTGAGAATAAAATAAGAAGGAATAGAAAAGAAATCAGGTATTGACTGGAGGGAAGGCCTGGATGTACAACCATGTTTTTAATTGGGTTTCAAAGATTATAAACTACTAGTTATATTTAAAGCAAAACATTTCACACTGAAACAGAAGCAATGATTTTTTTTTCTCTCTCTTGGCTACAGGCCAGCATCCGTTAGTCATTTAAAAGCAGATGCAGACCGCCAGATCTTAGGTTATCTCTTAAAAGCTGCCAATGACTCAGTTTTGGTCCCAGCTAGGCTCGATCAGTAGAAATTAATTGGCTAGCTGTAACTAACAAGTCCTATTCATTTCTGTGGGTCTCCTCTAGTTGGGATTGAAATTGGATTTAGTTCAATGAGGGAGAAGATAGACTTCCCAAGGGAGGAAATTTCAGAATGACAGAGCTGTGACCAAAACTGCCAGGACACTTGTTCCTGCTGCCAACTTGATTTATCTTACCAGAGGGCCTGCAAACAGGGTTGTTGTGATTGATCATAAAGCCCAGGGGGTTTGTATTTGAAGGACAGCCTTCAAATAAGGGGCCCTAATCTACTCGGGGATTTAAAGATAACTCTACAGTTGCTACTTTGAAATGAATCTGGAAATGCATTGGCAACCAGCATCATCAGTACAGAGTTAGTGTGTTGTGTTCCAGTTGCACTGCCTGACTATTTATTTATTTATTTATTTATTTGTTTGTTTGTTTGTTTGTTTGTTTGTTTGTTTGTTTGTTTGTTTGTTTATGTGCAGGACAAAAGATGGAGTGGCTCACAATAAAATTATTCATAAAAACAATTAAAACAATTATTTACCTTGACAATATTAGTATTAATCAAGATGGAAAATATGAAACAAAAGATTAAGTAGAAAGTAAAAGTCAAGTATTGACATGCAACCAAGCAGTTCCATTCTTTATTAATCCCTGGCAATGTTAAAAATATTTTTGCTTATACCTTCTGTCCAGATTTCTCTTTTCATAATACCTTTATTGGATTCAGTGAGCTGTTATTGGTTCTTGAACTCTTGTTTTTGTTGTGCTGTCAAGTCACCCTCTACTTATGGCCACTCTATGAATAAACAAATGTCCTGTCCTCAACAGCCCTTGCTCAGTTCTTGCAAACTCAAGCCTGTGACTGCCTTTAGGGTGTCGATCCATCTCATATTTGGTCGTCTTATTTTCCTTCTGCCTTCAACCTTTCCCAGCATGATTGTCTTTTCCAGAGAGCCTTGCTTTCTCATAATCCGCCCAAAGTAGGGCTGCCTCAGTTTAATGATTTTTGCCTCCAGAGATAGTTGAGGATT